CCTTTGTGCTGAATAATATACATCATATATATTAATCAATGAGCTAATGTTTTGATAGCTGGACTGCATGTGCTTTAGACAGAGGCTAGGTTTCCATTATTTATGTTTAATTAAGATGAACTTGACAGCTGACTGTAACTTCATGTTTAAAATACAGTACTGTGCAAAGTCTTGAGCTGCTCCTCAGTTCTTATATTTCGTTTCCAATGAGCCAGACTTTCTTGTAATTTTCTTAAAGTGGTTTAAAGCAATTGTTCTCCAGGCTTTCTGGAGGTCTTCTAAAGTTTTTTGTTGGACATTACCTGCTTTTTTTACTCATTTTCAATCCAGTTTTTATACCCAACCATTTTCAGAAGAATGTTTTGTTTTTTCACATCGCAGTGACTGATCAGCCATCTAAATATAAATAAAGGCACCAAACGCAAGGGATGAACCAGTGTTGTATCTACACATAGCAGACAACTTAGCAAAATAATAATTTTAAATCTTTCGGGACTTTGTTGCCAACAGCTTGTCCCCAAAATAGAAAAACTGTTCCTATTTCTGATGCTTCAAATGCTTCAAAATGCTGAAAGCTTCACATGATGAACAGTGTGTACCTAAAAATTCTGAGGAAACTGGTCAATTGATGAAAAACGAAGAGGTGACAAACCTAAAACTATCTGTTGCAGATGACAGGTATGTAATGTCATTAAAATCTGAAAAGAAAAAAAAATCCAACTTAACAATGGACCCGAGAGATGCATCTGACCCTTCAGTTAATCCAACTGCTGTTCACCAAAGCATCATCAGAAATGGTCTCAGTGGGAATGTGACTGTCAATAAGTCATTTCTAAGGAGAGGAATAGGGAGAAAAAGCTGTGGATTACCAAATTATACAAGAACTGCACTGAAAATCAGTGACAACAGGTCCAAACATGACATTTCTGTTCCAGATTGTCATCAATATCTCTCCAAAAGTTGATTCCGTTCATCTGGACGTAGCGTTTTGTGGGAGAAATGTTTCGTCACTAATCCAAGTGAGAATTTGAATAATTAGGATTAAGGAACTGACCTCCCAGCCCATTGTTCATTCAGTGGGCTGGTTTCAGTCATTATGCAAATGTGCTGTTTATAAGATTGGGGAAACCTGCAGTCAGCTGAGACTGAAGAAGTCACTTGGATGAGTGACGAAACGTTTCTCCCACAAAACGCTACGTCCAGATGAACAGAATCAACTTTTGGAGATTTACTTAGCTGGATGATTGAGCATGCATCAAGACG